GGATTTTTACCTCATGGAGTATCTATGCAATAAGCTTATAAAAGATTGTGGTCATTGTGCCGTATGTGTTGAAATGGGTTGTGTACAACACGTGTAAAACACATTGTTAAAATTACATTTATTTCGGAGATACCATAACACCAACCTCAATATAATGAACACCTTTATAATGAATTTCCTGATATAATGAACACATAGCATGTCTTCCGTTCACAACAAACCCAATGTATTATGTGCTTCATTATAGTGAACATTTCACTAAAACAAACTAATTGTATGTCTCCCAAAAAGTTCGCTATAACAAGGCTACACTGTATTAAGAGAATGCTACAAAATAAGCATAGTACAACAAGAGTAATGACCAATGCATAGAGGAGATTGAAATGATTGTGTACTGTATAACCTTATCATGTATCTTTCTGATCCAGTCACTTGGTGACTGAGCAAACTGGTAAAAATTTAGATTAACTTAATTTTCAAAAACATCCACCACACCAAAATACTTTTTAGAGGTTTAAAAGTGCTAGAATAATTCATGATGTTTAGTTGATGAACTATCAAGTTGAAAATTTAACAATATCATCTAGAATTAACATTGGGTGAAACTGAATTGTCTGCGAACATGTTGACCTAATACCTACCCTTTCAACCAATAGGTCACCATAAACCAATCAGAACTATGCTTTGAAATTAAGTTATTTAATTTAACCAATCAGAGAGCTGGTATCATCAGCATTCAAAACGAATAAGTCCACAGTAACTGTTGCTAGGAAGAAATTTTCAGCACATTATCTAGTCTTCATGATCACTTTTTTTTTATTTTCACGTATTAAATTCAAAGATCGTTTCAAGAAGTTAACACTAAGTATTTACAAGGATGTCATTCCATCATTCCATGGACACTGTCACATTTCACCCATCATATTGCAATGGCTGCTGTTACAGTTTGTCTAATGAATATTTATCATCTCTTATACTATAAATCTTTGACTCAACTTATGCTACATTGTGAAACATTAATTAACAATCTTACAACTTACATTAACCAAAGATCTGTCACCAGCCTAAAAAAAAAAAAAATAAAATTATTTATTAGCATAGCATACAGTAACAATAATAATTCAACACATTTCAAAACTACTGCTTCAAAATAAAAGATATGACAACAAGTATACAATATTCAGACATTTTTTTGTTAAGTCCTTCCACCCACAAAACAAGTTACATTGAATTCACTTACTGTACCACAATAGTGGAAATGACAACCAATTACACTTACCACTATGGTAGGAGTGACAAATGTCAGACATGGATTTTCCATACCACCGTATGGGAATGATGGTGGTAAAATTAACAGATCGTATTCACCCCACACATAGGGACCACACAACTCTTCAGCTGTTGTTAAGAATTGCTCAGTCTAAGAAATAATGAGAAATATTATTTATGATTATTATTACCTTCAATGAAATGAAAATCCCAACAAATACAGCCAGGTGAAAGGAGGCCCGCAATAATCATAGACCTATTTTTAATAGTTGAACAAATAAGGTATTTGCACTGAGTTGAAGTGATCCTGACTATAGCAAATAAGTTTCCTCTTCATTCTCTTGTATGCATGAATGATCTCTGTCAACAAATACTTCAAATTTTTAGAATTGATTTCTGTTGTCAGTTATTTTGAAATATTAAGTAAAACCTTTTTGAAAACTTAAGGTTATTTTTGGTAATAGCTAAATGAGCTATTCAATCAATTTAAAAAAGTATCTCTAGATATATATAAGCCTGATCATGGCTATGCAATGGTGTGCAACCATACACATACTGAACAAAATGATGATAATGTGATTATAACTTACATCAGCAAATTCATAGGCTGCCTGATCCACCATTGCTTTCTCTGACCACACACGTGATCTTGGTCCAATAACTCTATTAAACAAGAGTGAAGACTGGTTGACCATAATTTGTTATTTAGGGCTGAATGTTATTAGATAATCACATTAATTCTATGTCAATACGTTTAGTTATCTCTTTTTATATGCTTATATGCTATTGTAAAATGACTATAAAACTGTGGTAGAAATGAATATACTGAAGTGTGACATATCTAGGTGAGACATGTCTAGGTGTGACATGTCTAGGTGTGACATATCTAGGTGTGACATATCTAGGTGAGACATGTCTAGGTGAGACATATCTAGGTGAGACATGTCTAGGTGTGACATGTCTAGGTGTGACATATCTAGGTGTGACATATCTAGGTGAGACATGTCTAGGTGAGACATATCTAGGTGAGACATGTCTAGGTGTGACATGTCTAGGTGTGACATATCTAGGTGTGACATATCTAGGTGAGACATGTCTAGGTGTGACATATCTAGGTGAGACATGTCTAGGTGTGATATTACCTGGATTCCAGTGCACCAACCACAATGGCAATCAGATAGCTTGGAATTGGAACTTTCTGATGAAATTTGTAAGTCCATTTTGACTTGTCACCACTCACCGGTTCCTCACCTACACGTAGGGCACTCATTAATGCTACAAGTTCTCTAGGAACAGTTACCTATAAAGTATGCAATAATAGTCACTGTGACACAAGTATCACTAGAATAAAAACACAAAAGCTAGTGTACTCATATTAGTAACAGTAGACAGTAAATACAGTGTAAAGCATAGAATTTTCATGATTTGACAAATTCAAGAATGGTGGTTGATATGCAGCGTATGTTTAAATTCTATGTGAACATACAACATGTGTCTATGTTGTAATGGAACCCATATTGAACACAGCACGATGTGACAATCACTGTCTTTCAGGAAGTTTGAGAAATATTTTGTGAAAGTCACCGTCACTCTGAGTACATAATGTGACAATTTTCCCTGACTCTCCAAAGACTGAAGATTTTTTTATATACTTGATTATATATATACCTTGGTGTGAAGTTTTGAAAATAAATACTGAATCACTATTTTATACATGAATACAATAATTAAACATTCAGAAATAATAACATTTTCCTATTCAAGTGATCAAATGGTTGATGATATCAATCTTGATTACCTTGGCTTTGTAGGGTGCTTTCACTGAAGGTGCATCTTGACATGGTACCATGCTACGACAATGAATGGCCTGAAAGACAAATTTAAACATTTATGGAAAAGATACTATGATGATTCTGAACAAAACGGAATATTCTAAGGTCAGTTAACTGCCATTTTTTCTTTCAAGACTTAAGACTACTACCACTAGATGGCACTTTTCTCAATGCAACATTAATAACTAAAGATGGGTAGATGATTTATCTTGAAACAAGTTATTGTTAATGACACAATTAGGAGAAATGTTAGTCATGCCTAAGCCTAAAAGCAAAATGGCTGCAAGTCTGTTGTCTTTTATCTGATCACAAATTGTTATGGACATGTACTGCTACATGCTTAATATATGTAATCAAATTGGGTTGGAATAAAATATTTATATTTTATTTATATTATAATAAAATATAAATATTTTAAAAATTGTAAAATGTTAATAAAGAGTCTAATTTTCTAGCTTATGCAGTTTAATTTATTGAGTTGTACATTAATTGGTGAGAAAATATAATTAATGTACTAGAAGATTGCCCATAGAGTTTGCAACTCTGAAAAATAAATGAATGCAAAAAAATAAAGCGACAAACTGATACTTTTTCGCAGCTCAGCTACACTTGCTATTATCTCCGCCAATAACATGGCAATTTATTGTTGCAACTCAAACTTCTCACTGATAAATGGGGAGAATTATCAGAGGTCAACGTAAATCGGGAAGAAAACTTATCTACATACCAGAAATCAACAAATTATCTCCAAAATTTTAGCAAATCCAAATAAATTTGTAAACTGAAAAATTAAAAATAAATTGCAATAGTGAATAATGGAATGGTATCTATAGCCCCTATGGTAATTCTCAAGCTTATCCTTAGCACAAACATGTGAACAGGAATTTATTGTTAAATGACACCTTCCTTTTATTGGTATTTCCCCAGGCAAACTTTTGATTGATATGATTGTCTTCAAAATAAAACTCACACTACACTACACATCATGATCTTTTTCCTTGTACATTGTAATTGTTTGTTAATTATTTTATCCAGTGAACGAGCCATCGGCCATTATAAAAGGCCAACTGTGATTGGCTGTAGCTTATACAAGATAATAAATAAATAAATAAATAAATAATAAATTAAAATAAAATGAAGTAAAAGAAAGTGTATGATTAAAATAAATACTTAAAAACAAGTATCTTATTTTAATCAGATTGTTCAACATGTTTAGTGTATGTACCAACTTTGAACAAAAACAGGGACTAACATAACACATGATCTCCTCGTTAGACATCATCAGCTCATCATGGGAAATTTGCATAATATGAACAACAAACAAACACACATACAAGCAAGCCAACCTACCTGACACTGGCTGAACAGATAAGGATGTTTCTTGCCAGCAGTTTGCTCTGATGTCAACCACTGCAATGCACTGGCTTTTGGCGAGGTCTCGTATTGCACACAGACCGAAATGGTAGCATCTCTATACATAACAGAAAAGTTGTAATAATATCAACATTCTCAAATCAATAAATATCACAGACATTGGAAGTATTATACATTAAATTATCACTTTTTTTCAAAATATTGAAAAAAAAAAACAATTGAAAAAAAAAACAATTTTTTTTTTTATAAGACATATTTCAATGATCTATTGGAGATGCGCTTCCAATAGACTAAATAAGGTATAAATACGTAAAATTTCTAAAAACAATAAATTCATACTGGATTGAACACAAATAAACTTTTCATCAGTGTATGACACATGCTTCAAAATTAAATATCAACAGAAAATTTACACAAAACACAATGAATCACTTAATATGCAGGTTTAGATCCTTACTTGTTCAAAGGCTCTGTAAACTGAATATCTAATGCTGATCCAAATGCTTTGACTGCATCTCCAACAGTGAACTGTAAATCTTTACCATTGCTGTCTATCACTCCTTTTACTGCAATGTCACGAGTATCTAGTACCTATATGAGATATTTACATCATGTAATCATATCACATTATATAAAGTAGTTCATTAACAAGAAACAAATGTGTTGTTTCCTGAAACAGTTTCCTGAAAGCCTGAATGTTTATTTATGTAAATCATTTACTAATATATAATAAACTTTAAATGACTTGACCAACGCCTTAGCAGATGTATACCGCTCATATAGAATACCTTGCGCATCTGTCATATTGCAGTGAATAGGCCAATGACTTGAGGAAACCTGCAGAGGCTCATGGGTAATGAGCATTACAAAATGGCTTCTATAGCCAATGAAAGGTTTTTTTTGAAGCACAAGGGTCATCTTAGGTAAATGTTTTAGAAATTTTTGTAAAAAAAACAAAACATTCAGGCCTTATGGAATTCACTATAATGAAGTATGGGTATGAATATTACACTAATGTCAGTGTTATCATATCTCTATAGATTAATAATCAACCAGGGAAATCTTTCTAATTTCTGTTTTTGAGAGTTACTAAATATGTAACAATTTATACATATTCAATTCTTATAAGAATTATCCGTCACTACGGTGATTTTGTTTTCTAAGAATTGAAAGTGGATTTTAATGGATTTACATCAGGCATTCTGTAAACGTTCATTCAACTGACTCACAACTTTTAACTCTGGTGTCATATTTCAGGGCAAGGGGTCATAACAGTATCATCGCTTTTTTTATGGAGCAAACAACTACTCACGGTTGATTTAGCAATGACAGTAGGCAAAGTAGGAAGTAGGAAAAGACTGTAAAATTATTCTTTCGTTATTGTAAAATTTTTTTTTTTTATCAGTGTTAATTATAATGGTGAAGTAGGTAGTGAGCGAAATAAATGTGTTTATCGACATGTACATTAATTTCCAAGTGAAAATGGTATAAGTTCCACTTGCCAGCTCTTTACAGTATTTCTATCTGTATTTTTCTAAGCAACAGTAATAATAATGTTATCCATTTACTGTATTCATTCTGGTACAAAACTTAAATGTCTGGGTGTTCTATAGCCAGCCAAGGGTTAATTTTGAGGGGTGACCAAAAACAAATGTTCCACAGTGTGTATTTAATCGGTGCCCTTAACGACAAGCAGGGGAGATGCAACAAAAATAAACAGTCAATCAGCTATCTTGTATCAAAATACAGTACAATACAATAAAAATCACGAAAATTGGGCACCTATATCCAACAGGCGCATCCTGTGGAATGGTGGAGTTGGCAATGACTAGGCAGCAGCAAACCTTGCGATTCGGATGATAAGTTTCCCCAGACCAGCAAGTTTAGGGACCTTTTCTGTACAAAATTGGCGAATTTACCCACGATACATTATTTGAAACTGGTACATCTCAGTGTCACATTTTTGTGAGTTGTATAAATCATTTCTGATTTAGGAGTTTAGGTTGCCCAGAAAGTGGCAAACCATTCAGCAATGCATTGTGTTAACAGACTCTCCAATAAATATTTATGTACTTTAAATAATAACAATCATATAATAAGTAAAATATGTGTGGATAAAATGATTTGTATACTGTGAAATACTTTATTATTGCTGAACGAATGATTCAGTGAAAATAAAATCCAGCAAATATACCTTTTTTTCCTATATTTTACATTCAACTCATGAAAAATCAGTGAAAATAAATTCCATACAAAACACTCAAAAAGTCTTTTTTACAGTACATATTTACAAAACTTTTCAGGTTTTCCCTTTTGTATGCAACTTGCACCTCCTATGATGATGGTACGATCCGGCGCATTGAAATCTGACCAAAGTTAAAAATTCATAAAACAAATCAGTTTTGCAATGTACATTTACAAAACATTATGGGGCTGATGTAAAAACAAATCAACACATGTTATGAATGGTGCATTAGGAAATATGCAATTATTTATTATTAATACATTATAAATAAATAATGTATAATTATTAATGAATAATTTATTAATAATTGTTTTCTCCATTACAAACTATTCTCAGTGCATCAAAGGAATTCCTTCCATCCATATAAATAATTATAAATAATCATGGCAGTTGAATCCAACCTGCCAATCAACGTCATTTAAAAGCGTCCCAATGTTATTAAATTTGCCAATATGCAAGGTTTCACGAAGGCATGAATTTGTTTTATGGACATTTACAAATATTTATAGAACATTTATCCTCAATGACTTTTGTGCTTCATTTAAATTCAAAGAAAATACTTTTATTGACTGTAGAAAACATTTAATACCCATTACCCATTAATCTTTGCGAGGTTCCTTCAATCATTGACAATTATCTGCCAGAACATGAAGGATCAAATTCATTTAAAAATTACAGTGATAGAATTTGTTCATTGAAACAAATTTAAAAGAATGCAAGTACAAGTAGTATCATTATCTTTTGACACTGGACGTTAATATTCTAAAGCGATTCAGTGTCAAAGAAGAGGTTAAACGTTAACTGACTGCAGTGAAGTTTTACATGGGCGGTATTCATCTGCTTAAAGGCTTATGATTGGTCATTTTTTGTTCAATCACCTTTTGTAAGTTATAAACATTCATAAACGTGTAAATATTTTATATAAAAGAAATTCACGCCTTCATTAAACCTGCTGTTTCATTTTGAATTATGAAGTTTATAAATATTTACAAAGATTAAGGAAATGCTATTGTTGTGCTGAGAGTAAACCATGATTTAATAAATAATAATAATTTTTAACGAAACTGTATCCCAGTCTGAAGAAAGAAAAATGAGAAAACAGAGAAGAAGAAAATTAATTAATTTAAAATTT